CATCGCCGGTCGATCCAAGGCCGACGCGAAATTTCGCGTGCTCGTTACAAACTTTCGGGATCCCGAAACTCGACTCGACCCGGCTCGGCTCGGGTACAAGCTAGAGATAAGCTATAAGGCCGACTTATCATGAAAAATTCAATATTTTCCTCGACGTCGTAGTAATAATTATATAAATCATTCGTTGAATTACAATGAAATTAATTCACAATTGAAATTATTTCTCTGTTTTACTGGATTTCTCTAATTAACAGCGTTCCCTCGTTAATAATAATAATAAAATCTAAATAATAAAACAATAAAATAGGTATCAATCTAGAAAGTTGATATCTTTAACACAAGAAGATTAATAACTTTTCTCAATCCGACTGACATCCTCTCTCTACACAGAAAATGTATTGCTCCACTCTCCCGAACAATGTATAGTTTTCACACGTAATAAATCACCGCTCTCTTTACCATGAACCACGGAATATACGTCGTCAGCGATTCTCGAACGCGTCGATATCTCTTTCACGACGTCTTCCATAGTTCGCCTTTCGTTCTATTTCAACCTCCCCCGACAATCACCTTTGCCCGCAATGCAACGTGTGTTACGCGCGCACGTCCAAATATCGGCGAACCATCACGCGGGAAAATTCGCGAAGAAGCCCGAGCAAACGTGAAAGCAGCGAGAAGGGAACAGGGAAAATCGAGACGAGGCGAGGTCTAATTTCGACTATCAGCCAGCAACGGGCAATGAATCTCGACGATTCCCGCGAACGTATACGACTTATCTGCTCGTGCACGCCTCGCCGTCTCGATAACACCCTCGCTGGCACGCACGTGTGAACACGCAACAGCCTCGTTACCCTCGAAAACGGGCGGTCAGAGATTCGTGGACGAGATTGATATCCGTTACGGTTACACGGTGCCTGCTTACGAGCCTGTGAATTACGAGGATGCAATCTAGAGGATCTTATGGAATTCTTCGAACACACGTACATACGTACGTACCACGCGTGCTTTCAGACCATTTTCAGACTATTTTCTTAGCCTCTTGCCTTGGAACGCACGTCGAAAATTTTTTTATTCCGAAATTGCAACATTTCTTCTTTAGCTTTAAGTACATTCAAGTATAACCCAGGCACAGGAATTTCTTTTCAATAGTCATATAGTTATAAATAATAGTTTCTATCCAGTGACATCATACCGACGAGTACAAAAGAGAAAGAAATCGACGAATTATTGTATATACGGGTTTGGTCACTCGTTACGGTCCGCAATCAGTTGCCAAGCGCAAGTGGTTAAACTGCGGCCGGTGCTTAAGTGAGGGAATTTTCAATATTTCGTGAGTTTGCAGAAAGAGGAAGTTACGACTTTCGCATTTACCAACGTTTCTTTACGAAATTTTGTACGATTATTGTTCACAGTCGCTGATTGAAGATATTTTATTTAATTCGAATATTTATGTGTATTCGCTTGATTGGATATTAATTGCATCTTCATCGCCACTCTCTGGCTCTTCTAAAATTTGAATTGTCTTTGACTTTCAATATCACTCGCTGATAAGTCCGACAAATTTTCTTCGATATCTTCTTCATCTGGGTTTGACATTTTTTTTAGAATAAACGTTACTTATTTCAAACTTTTTATGTAAAACTTGCACAATAGAATGATTTCCAGAATGGTTAGTATTCTTTCAAGAAACGAGAAACGACTTTCTACTGTTTTATTTGTGGCAGTTGGAAGTCAGAATTCTTTCCTTTTCTCTTTTTTTTTCCATTACCATTTCTCTGTATTTTTTTTTTTTGGTTCTCCATGACTTTTTTTCTTCTTCGTAAATTCAGAACAAATGTCGATATTTTAATATTCGAACGTAATTCCCCAACCAAATAAAATAATTAATATTGGAGTATTTTTTAAAAGTACATTGCCGATTAATAAAGATAATTACTAGCATACAACGCGATAACACCATAATGGTTTAACATTACATCATCAAAAATAGTCATCATCATAGAGTTGCTGTGTTAAAGCAATGAAAATAAACCGCAATTCATTCATGACGATAAATCATTTCAATTGCAGAAATCATCAAACTTGCAAATCATTTAGATAATACATAAAAGAGGTTAAGATTAGATTAAACTGAGGACGGCGAAGTGTCAATATCGTTCAGTATCTCGCAGAACTTCGAGAGAGAGAGACAGAGGGACACGAATTTGCAAGAATTCGATATCACGTTACGCTACAGAATACTCGAGCAGGTACAACTAATTTTCCAATATTTCGATATTCCATACATCGATACATCGGACGGCATCGTCGTTAATGCGAGACACAGATACGAGAACTCAATCAATCGATACCTTCGATGGCAGATAATCTCGATAAAAGCCGTATCAACTACTTGCATTTCTATTTTCCTTGTATTTTCCTCGGGAAATCGAGTACTTTTCAGCTGAGTCGCAGCAACAGAGGCAATGATAGGTTACATGGCTTATCGATTGTCAGGAAATGAATTAACATTTTGCTGACTGTTCTCATTTTTCCCCGCGAATCTTGTATTTCGGAATCTGGTAAAGATTCGTAAAAATTAACTCTCAGCTGGCGAAACTGATGTTTGGTTCGGCACGCGTGCCAGGAATAGTTAATCTAACTTCGAAGCTCTTAGCAATTCATTCGAATTTATTTATTTTGTAGTTCGGTAGGACGCGGCAAATTTAAAAGCAAATTGTATTTGGAACGTTAGTATCGCCATTATCAGCTCGTCTTTATGTTCACTGCAGTGTCTATCTCAGTTATCTTTACTTTATAGTTGTCCAACTATCTCAGACTATCTCTTTGCCAGGTTAACGAAACGGATCTCGACGAGATGGAATTAATTTATATTTTTGAAGTTTGCTTGCATAGTCGCAGAGAAACACACAACCCGACAACGATAACTTTAATCAATCTTAGAGAGTTAAATCTTCGCGTCGTGTAAATTGTGGAATCTACAAGATATGGAAAAATGTCGAAAGAAAAGAATGAAAGCAATAACGCGTCTATACTGAATTTGTTTGAGCCAATTTACACCGAGATATAAATCGAAAGATGTTATCGTCATCGTGTCGAGTTGGAAAAATTCGAAAATTTGAACAAGTGTTCGGTCGTGTTCCGCGCTACTGAAAGGGAAGTCAGAGGACCAAGTGTGTACGAAGCAACAAATGGCGATACCAGGATGACGAGGGTGGAAAAAGGGTGACACAGGTGGGATGAAAAATCTTTTGGGGTTTCACTGGCCATGATGCTTTTAACGCCTGGCTCTTCCGCTACGAGGATATAGAAGCTGCCATTGTCCAACGATTCGAAGAATATCCAGTTCAAAAAATATTTGGAAAGTGGAAATTGACGAGACGAACCTCTAACAGATTTTCTTTCGTGAATTCGTGCCAGTTTTTTTTTTAATACGTAAATTTGTAAATTTAGAGTGTTGAAAGTGTGAGAGTTTGTGAAAAAATATGATATGATATCGTTTGCGAGAGCTTCGTTTCGTTTTACAGAGTATTGCCCAGTTTTCAGTTTTCAAAATTTACGCATATCGCGAATATTAATATTTTTCACTTGACACTGGTGATATTTTTGATGACTAATTTAATGTGAAAAATTGTTAAATAGCGAGAGTATTTAGGTTTTCAACACGTTTTTTATTTTGAATAAATGTTATCGATGAACTGCAGATCATCAAAATAATTTTAAAAGTAGAAGCTCTTCCATTTGTAAATATTTTAACGAAAACTGTGGATTTTGAATATTTCACATATTTTTTTCTTTATCATATGAATTTTATTAATATATGATTCTTCGTACTTTTAAATTTCTTCCAAATGTGCGTGCGCATGTGGTTGAAATCTCACGTTTCACTAAGAACAATTTATACGTATTTATTTTTCACTTTGTATTATTTATCTTTACCGCACATTATGTTCATCAACAATGAATTACGAAGCTGCAAACATATTTCATGTTATCTATTTCCACAATGATTAAATTATATTTATTCTAGATGATTAAATTGTTGTAACAACACAATTCTCAATATTAATATCTTTACTGTTACTGTAGAATTAATTATTTTTCAGATCTATATACCGCGAGATAAATAACATTCAGATTAATAAACATTTGAATTGATCGTTTCTATGTATGATTTTCACAGTTGTGCCTCTCTCTTTCTCTCTCCTACAGTTTTAAACAGTTTGAAAGGTCCATTTATAAATGTCCGAATAAAAAGCAATTTTTAAAATATCCCTTTAGTTATCTCGTTTTATTGTTCCGTCATCCCAACAGATTGCGGATCCGTTAAAAAAAAAAAGCTTTGACAAAAAGTAGAATATTTCGTTTACAACCTTCACAGATATCACTTTTCCGTTGTGTCATTTCAGACAGAAATTTCGTTTGTGTCCGCTCGTATTGAATAAAATATCGCTTGTATTAAAGTACAAATATTTGCATTAAATTAACGATTCTTCGATATCAATTACCTTAACTTTTCTTTTTTATTGAGAATGATGCATTAAGAGATACACGACTCCATTTTATAAATTAACATTTATTTTCATAGGTCCACTAATAAGAAAGATTGAATTAAAGAAGAAAAAGAATAAATACCAAGAAAAAAAAATATACTAATTTACTAACAATACAAAAAAAAATATATATACAGTTTACTAACAATACAATAGAATAAATACCAAAAAATATATATATATATATATACTAGTTTACTAACACTAAGAAAAAATTAAAATTAATTCAGAACAATTTAAAAAGTTATGCTTTCAATAAAAAAAAATATATACATAAAGATTTACTTGTAAAAGAAGAAAGATGATATGCACATCATTTTTCGATATGATTAATAGTTTCAGGAATTCTGTACACTAGTTTCTAAATTTTTCCACGAGCACAAGTGAACACTGACTGTCTGTTGATTATGCACGACAATCGCATTATTATTCTCGGTAAATTTCCAGGTAAGGAAAAATGAGCGAGGGACAGCCAACTTACAAATTGATCTACTTTAACGCCCGCGGTCGTGCCGAGCATATTCGCTACATATTTGCATACGCCGGCATCGACTACGTCGACGAGAGGATCCCCAAAGAACGCTGGCCTGAATTGAAGAAATGTAAGTGCGCGAAATCGATTTTTCGTTTGTCGTTCAATTCGCAGATATTGCTGCCACTTGCGCCAACTTTCTCTCGCGTACAAGACTTTTCTCTCACGCGACTCGGCCCAACTGTGGAATAAATTCTCTACTTTCGTATTAAATCGTCGAATTTCCGCCATTTTATGCATTTTTTCATATCGCAATCTTGCTGCCAATAAATGGAAAAACTTTTATCACTTCGAGGGTAGGTCTGAAAAGTATTTGGAGGGAATTGGAAATTCTAAATTTCTAATATCACTGAAATGACCATTCTGAAATCTTATTCATTTCAATAACTTTCTTTTTTTTATCATAAATCAAAATAAAATATTCGACACGAGTGTCTTTCTTGTACGAGTGTAAAAGCTTGCAGCTGTCGTTAAGGTTCCATTACTCGTGATCGCAAGGGAAAAAAAAAGAAGGAAAAAAAAGAAAAAGAGAGATAAGAGAGATATTTCTGTATTTCGTTACTAGGCCATGTTGATTAAAATCCAAACGATTTTCACTCGCCCATTCACAGGAATACGTAGAACGCGCCCTCGAAAAAGCTGCGCAGCGATTTCTTATTGATCGTTGCTCTAACACACAATGTTCATGCGAGGCGTGTTTGTTCTTAGCAATGCCTTATGGAATGCTGCCTGTGCTGGAGATAGACGGGAAACCGATAGCGCAGAGCAACGCTGTGGCGAGATATTTGGCGAGGAAGCACAATCTAACTGGAAGGGACGAGTGGGAGGCGATGATGTGTGACGTGCTCGTCGATACGCTCGGAGATCTGAAGCAATGTGAGTGAATGACTGACAAATAGTGAATTCACGAAAGTTCGAGAAATTCATTGTGAGAATTTCTGACGTGCACAGATAAGATGTATCTTCTCCTTAACGCCATATTCTACTGAGAAACGAGACGCGCCTCTTATCTATGGAATATTTTTACTTTTGAAATTTAAGAAATTTATCTACACCTTGGTAACAGCCAAACGTTTTTTTTTCTTCTTCTTCTTCTCGAGGAGAAATAATCTGTCTGTTCGTTAAGGGGGTATTCTACTGAGAAACATGCGACTCTCTTTGAGGTTCTCTTACAAACCATATAACATTAGTTCTCTAACGAAACTATGTAACATTTTCTGTTGTCATTCTGCACGTACATTTATTCATACTTCAGCGAGATTTGGAATTTTTCTTTTCAAAGAAGCAATCGAAATTATTACGAGAATAATATGGGGTTTCAAAGAGACGCGTAATTGTGACACTTCTCGCTTTCCAAACGAATCTTTACAGGTTATTCTCCCAATCAATCATTTTCATAATTGATACATTTGCTGGTAAACACCCGATTGATTTAATTGGTGATTCGTTATCTTCAATCTTCATTTAATTCGCGACGGAATCACGTTTTTTCCTTTGGCTGTTGATTCTTTGCAAAGCGGTCCCTGACGTATGATAAACTCGCTGGTTATCCGCGGAAGGAGCGAGGACAAGTGTTACTCAGTTATCGAACACACAGGAAGATCTTGCCACGTGATAACGTTGCAAATTTCCAATTACGATATGCTTGATTGCGTAACATCGGCCGTTTGCATAACGATCCGCACGTAGATCGCATAAAACTGCAAAGGAATGGAATCGCTCGAAAACTTGTGCAATTGTTCGCACGTACATATCTCATCTCGCGGTTTTTTTTTTTACGCCGTCGACGTAACATCGCGTTAATCGAATCGAGAAATTATTACCGAACGAAAAAAAAAAGAAGAAAAATTTTTACAGAAAAAGAACAAAGTAAATAGGTTACCGATTAAACCGTGCGATTGCACGATCGTATATCTCTTCTTTTTAAATCATCGCATCGATATCGATTTCGTTCGGGATTAAAAATCATAGATTCGTTCATTATATCCGTCTACAACAAGCCATTGTATTATTTCGTTCTCGTATCCGTTTTTCTCTTCCACCGCCACTTTACGCTGCTTGCTTCAATTCCGTCGATAATTCACGATTCGATGCGCTTGAGCAGCTGGAACATCGCAGATTTTTCCGCGCGATAATGAACGTGTTTTCGATGGCCAGACGTAAACCGCGTCGATTACCATAACGATCATCAACTAATGAACGGCGACGATACGCCTCCATGATTTCTTCTCCTTCAATTCTTTTTTTATCCTTGTATATTTTTTTCAAGCGACCGCGTGGAAAATGTAGGAGGTTTGGCGAGAAACTTGCAGACAAAAGTCACAATTATCAAGAGAAAAAGAAAAATTATATTGAAAATATTAACGTTCGCTTCTTCGAGTCTCTTTGGAATTGGTTTTCCACATCCTGGATATTTTTGATAACTCTTAACTTCAATAAGTATATTCCGCGAGGATTTTTACTTCATTTTCCTTCCGCGAATCACAAATAGACGTAACGTCGTTCATCCTGAAGAGACTTTTCCAAGTTTCGAAGGAAATTCTCATTGCAAACGAAACCCCTGTGTTTCGAGTATCGTTGGACCATCAGAGAAACTTGCAGACGTAACCGTTGTAGTTGAAGATTGAGGGAATAAAGGAGTTGCAGTAACTGCGGGAGGTTACGCTTCTTCTTCCCGTGACTTATTTCCGCTTTGTTCCGAGGAAGTAAAGGACAAATGAAAATGTAAGAATCGGCTTCATATGCGTTCCAGTTATATCCCAATATCGTACGGAGGAGGATCTTTTCAAGAAGGAAGAGAAGAAGGCGAAACTTCTGAAGGAAACAATACCGTTCTACTTGAACAAGTTCGAGCAGACGGTTGGCGAAAATGGAGGCTACACCGTTGGCTCCACCGTAAGTCCTTTTTCCGCTGAATTTAATATTAAAATCTTCACGCCTACGCGCGAAAATTTTGCACGTAGAAACGCAGCTGATGCGAATCTGTGTCAAGTTGTTGATATAAAATTCTCTTGGAGAACCTCGAGCCGTGTACTTTTAGAGTTAATTGACATCTTACTATTAAATATAAAGAGATTAATATCGCGAGCTCTTTCATAGTCCCACATTTTCCCTCGTTACGAAACTTTGATAAAGATTGCTGATAAAAAGAAATGAAAGCGAATTTTGTGATTTACGATCTCTTGTTTCTTGGCTGATAAATATTATTCAACAAGTACAAGTGCAACAAGTACAAGTATGATAGTACTTCATTACAAACATCAGAGTCTCTTACTTGGCCAATTTATTTCTTAAATCACTGTTGTACAAATTAATTCAATGTGATTGTCACGTTTGGTTGTCAAATGTCTTGCAATCGAAGAGATAATAACGAAAACAGGAACGAAATAATATTCTTGAGTTAAATATACTGGTGTTGCAAAATCACAGGAAAAGTTATTTTCATGGAGCCACTTAATTTTCTATTCCAATACCGATTTCTATCGAAAAATTTAACTTTGTAAGGACAGTTTTCGTTATGAACCTCTCTCGATTGTTGATTGAAAACTCTGGCGCTAAACTGTGGCAATAGGATGAAATTAAGAAATGTCTGATATATCAAATTTCAAGGGAATTTCGTTGAAATAAAATTCTGAGTAATTTTTGAGCATAAAGTAAAAAAAGGAAGGAAACTTCAAACGAAGAAAGTAAAAAAAAAGTAACGTTCACAAACCGTTTTTTCAGACGACGTGGGCGGACTTCGTGTTCGCGGTGGCCCTTGAAAATTTCGAGAACATTTTCGGAGCGACGGCTTTAGAGAATTATCCGGGTCTTCGGGCGTTGAAGAAGAGGGTTCACGAGATACCTGCTATCGTCGGCTGGCTGGCTAAACGGCCTCACACGGAATTCTAAAAAAAAAATGTTGAAGATACGTACGCGTGAAAGAAAAATAAAGGCAAACGAGTACATATCCTACGCAATGTGCGTACGCCTCGTCAGGTATCGTTATGCGTTGACGTTAAATGTACGTCGTGAAATGTAACAGTTCAACAAAATTGTCCGTACGTTCGAAAATTTTAACCGTAGAACGTCTAACCTAAGTTTCACGCTTTTGTAAAGCGCAAGTGTTTACAGAGAACGAAGTTAGACAACGTTCTATCTACGTACGCACGTAGAACCGTAGAGTGTTTGAATTTTAGTTTCTCTGTGAAAAATAATGTCTCCTCAGAGAACACAATGTGCAGCGAATGTTTAAAACACAGAGTGTCCCGACATAAAACGTACACTATTTCTCTGATTTGCTTGCAATTTCGAAGCACCAAGCTAGAGAGAGAAATTTAACAAATTTTATTTATTTCCAATGAAACGTGCGAACTGAATTTTGTAGTTTATTTATGTCAAGAAACTCTCGATGTATCGAATTATTTGAATTTTCTTTCGATTTTACAGTGTCACGGTGAAATACGATATCTTATCGTAAGAAAAGTGTGAAATAACGTTATGAAATTGCCAAGGAAGATAAAAGCTTCATATCTTTGCTCGTATCAAAATTATAACGGAAAACAGATCTCGAATCTGCCCTACTATTCTTAGGTATTGATTCACTACTTATCTCGAGACCACTCTTTCTAATACGCAAACACTTTTACTTACTCAAGAACTAAACTGATGTTACGATAACTGATGTTACCCAACGATAACAACGGATTTCAGAATACCAATGCATGTAAATTAAATTTCGTTACACCCGCGCGCGACAATTTCTGTGGACACTGAAGTGAACTGCAGAGTGAGAGAATTGATTGATATATCGATATATCTGATCGTTGCGATATCACTAGTCAATACAAAGTTTTAACTGAATGTTACTGTTTAAACGTTAAAAGACAATGAAATATGTATCGAATCGTTGTAATTGCAGAGCCATCGACTGATGCAATGTAATAATAATCTCGTATAAAAAAACGAGTCGTTTTACGTTATTCTTTTTTTTCACCAATAGCCTATAACATTGTACTGACTATAGTTTCAGTATTATTTTCCTTAGCGAATAATTTTTAATGTTTTTCTATTATATACATATATACATAGAGAAAATAATTATATACACATAGAAAAACAAGTGTGATACTACAATTGCAAAATATTTGCTCATTTGGACGTGGAAAATTTATGCCTGCGCTGTTATCTTTTGATTTTATTTATCGACAGAGGTACTTAACTACTGCCGATAATAAAGCAAACGCGATAAGAAACATTTTTACCATTTATGATTACGATAGATAAAAATAGTGAATTTCACGCGACGTTATTATTAATTTAATCATCTGAATCAACAATTAGAAATCGAATTTTGTTTTATATAAATCAATAAAAATAATCTAATAACACGAACCTATGTATTTCTTGCTTCATAATCTTCGCACACTTTCGTACATTTTTCTATCTTCTGTTAGTCTGTCTTTATGTATATTATTACATTGTTTTGAATTTAATATTATTTATTCGTAATATTTATTGTTCATCTTTTCATGTTATTCAAATTTCGCGCTTCCCTTTCGTCCTATGGTTCATTGCTTCGTTTGAAGGCGCTGTACTGGTTTATAAATGTATGTTAATCGTCAAAACTTTAAAAATCTTTTTACTTTGACACATCTTATTTCTGTTATGTTAAATTTCAACTTTCATTTGAAAATTAACGCTAAATTATAAAGTATCAATTCTTCCGCTTCTGGATGCTTCCAATTCACATTGTTTGGCACTTGAATCATTTCTACCAATAAGGCAGCAGTTAGCGGCGTAGAAAATTATATAGGGACCTTTGGTTTCGTCATCTAATTTCATCATTACATTTCCGTTAGCCGGCTTGATTGTTTCTTAGTCTTCCTTCGACGCCCAGTTTTCAAAAGAAATTGTAAGTAAGTAATGATCATTTTCTGAATTAAAGTTAATTTTTTTAATCAAGCGTGTAAAACCTACATTTTATATATTTTTTTCTATAATTGGCAGTTAAATGATAAACGTGAACTTCGTTTGAAAAAAATCAATGTCGTTGAACTAACCGGCTATTAAATGATTTGAGTTATTTAAGTGAAGTAGATATGTATCATTCTATATTTGTAATTAATCAGTAAATCCAAGCATTTCTTACGTCTGAAAGAGAATATAGTCATATTGAATGTTTTGTAGTTACGGAAACGTACAGGCACGTTCGACTGAGAATAGTATAATATAAAATTACTGTCGAGTAGAGCGTTAAGTCTCGCGAGAAGACATATGGTTCAATTAGTACCAGAAAGTCATAGATCATGTATGTAATTAGCATTTCTAAAGCGTTGTTTATATTGTTTTACACATTTCTTATGAATTTGAAATTAAAAATCGTGTTTCATTAGAATAAAACATGTCAATAACATGTGCATCTTACTTGAATAAAAACTACGTAATATTTGGCACATATTTACACATGTTTACGCATTTCTGTCTCCAAAATAATAACCTTTTTGTATCCAGTTTCTTAAAAGACTGAAACATGAATGTATATAAATACATAACTTTATACAAATTGAACAATTTGATTAATTCAAAAAATTAAATAGAAAAATTAAATAAAGGGTTATGAAAATTTGAAGTAACTGATGCTTTTTACTTCATAATTAACACAGTACAATCTATGATATTAACGATTCTACTTTTTCATTCTGTGTATCTTGCAGCAAGATGCCTACCTACAAATTGACTTACTTCCCAGTTAGAGCATTGGGAGAGCCAATCCGTTTTCTTTTGAGCTATGCTGAAATTCCATTTGAGGATGACCGCTTTGATAGAGAAGATTGGCCAAAGATAAAGCCCAGTAAGCTTCAAATTTCAAAAAATTCTATCTTCCTTATTTGTCATTTGCTATTGTGAAAGATATTTATATACAGTATAATGGAAATTATTGTTTACTCTTCATTGCTCTATGTGTTAGAAAACAATGGTCATTGTTAAGAAGACAATGCCCTTTGTTCCCTGGTAAATTATCAATAAATCAAATTTGCTTTTTTAAAACCAAATAATAATATGAATGTTTTAGAAGCTATAGAATTTGCTGTGATGAACTTTGGAAAGGAAATTAATTGTATTTGTTTTTCTAAAGTCTTGAATCAGAATTGATAATGTGGAAGTTAAAATTAATTGTTAGATGAAATCTTTCATTTTATTTATTTTATACTTTTAGCTACTCCTTATGGCCAAGTCCCTGTTCTTGAGGTTGATGGAAAGAAAGTTGCTCAATCTTCAGCTATTTCTCGCTACTTGGCCAAACAATGTGGCTTAGCTGGAAAAGATGACTGGGAAGCCCTTTTAATTGATGCTACTGTGGATACCATCCATGATGTCCGTGCAAGTGAGTATCAGTTGTACAAAACTCGTGAGAGACTTTGTAACAACTGTTCAATTATTCATTAGTTGAAATCTGAATTAACATGTCATTTGATCAGTACGAACAAAGAAGGTTATAATAATGTCCTAACTAATTTAAATTTCGCAGAACTTGCTGCCTTCCATTACGAAGAAGACGAGACTTACAAAGCTACGAAACGCAAGGTTGCTGACGAGGTGGTACCGTTCTATCTGGAACGTTTGGATGCCCAAGTGAAGGATAATGGCGGCTACTTTGTTGGTGGTGCTCTCTCCTGGGCTGATTTAACATTCGTTGCTATACTCGATTACTTGAACTTCATGAACGGTTCCGATCTGATCGAGAAATACGAAAATCTGAAGCAGCTGAAAGAAAAGGTCCTCAATGTGCCTGCTATTAAGACCTGGGTCGCGAAGCGCCCAGAGGATGAATTGTAAACTTACAATCTCTCCTTGATTTCTTATGGTTTTATACACTCTTCACTATAAACTTTTCAACATGGTTGGAGTTTGTTGAGAAGGATGCATGAATTATTTTGATAGAAGTTCCTTACGCATGGAATATATCGATCGCTTATAAGATTTATTATTTTCAGTTATTAGCGACACTTTTGCCATTTAACTAAGGCTTTTCTTTAGATTGCATCGTTAATAGATCGTTACGATAATTGTTACGATATCCTACAGGAACTACAGAAATTTATAAACTGTTGATATCGTGTTGTGCTTTTGTATTACAGATATAATAAAGATATTATTGTATTAATCGTTTTCTTTTTTTCTTATTGCTACTATTCAAAATCAATTTGGTGAACTTGAACAGAAAAAAACCTTAAGTTTAACCAAACCAAATATTCCTGGATACGGTATTCTGTCCAAAAAACGCGAGTCATACATTGTTGTATAAAAAAACATAATTATTATCAGTACGATAACGTAACTTTTATGTGTCGTTATCGTTTTGAGGTCGAGTATTCTGTTGATCCCATAACTGAACTTGCCTACAACAAACAAGATAGAATGTATAAAATTAATCAGCTTAACTTATTGCTTATTACAAATAACGTTTTTACAAAAAAAAAAAATTATCTTTTCTAGTTTACTCGTAGAGTTATTTATGTATTTTTTGCAAAAGAGAATTGAAGGTCTATCTATCAACTATGTACATAGTTGTTTACTTTGAAAAATCAAATTTTCATGTACAAATTCTCGTTAGTTTTAATAATTTCGATATTTTGCAATTCATATAGATAATATTTATGAAATAAATTGGAAGCATTTTAATCAATACCATTTCTTTTTGTTTTTCGTATCATTACTGTTTTTTAAAGTCGTTAAAAGATGATTATATTATTAAATGGTTTATATTATTAAATGTTCTAATCAAATTAGAACTCTTTTTCTAAATTAACTCAATAATTTCTTATATTCGTAGATACGTAAAATACCGGTTGCAGAAAATTACATGTGCAACTTCGTAATTTGAAATTATGCATGTTGTCATTGTCATCACAAATCAATCATCACAATATTTAATGTAAAACAGAAAAAAATTCGATTCGCCGAACTATACAAGATTTGTGTTCATGTACAAAAAAAGAAAATTGATTGAAAACGTCGATTAGTGTAAGTTACCAATAACTAACTGATAAAATAATCAGTGTTTGCAACTCATCAATTGCACAATATATTTTTATCGAATAGTTTATAATTTGTACTTTGCAATTCTTTATTGTAAATTGTGCAATATTATTGTTTTATAATGTAGACTTCAATCTATTTTTTTAAAATAAATATTGTTTCATTAATACATTGTTTAACTCCGTATTTGTAATTTTTTTTTATTGTTCATGTTTTACGTTTCTTGAAAAATTTTCCTCGTGGTAATACGTGAATATTATGCTTTATTTGAAAATAACTGAGAAAACTGAAAAAGAGAAGAAGAATTAATAAAATATTGGAAAAAAAAAGAAATTTTGGAAGATTTTTATAAAATTACACAACTGATATTGAGTAATATCTAGCAGGTATTTACACGCCCTGACTGATATTGCCTCATATAGATATATGTATGTGTATATGTGAATACATATATTGATGATATTGACTGCAGATATTACGTTAGTGATAAAAGTTAAAATTGGCTTGTCAGAGAGTGATTGTACAAAATGACTTGCTAACGTCAATTCTAAAAGTTTAGCAGACTCCTATCGATTTTGGAATTATCCTTTGATCGATATCTTCTCTAACGAAAATACTTTTCCTATTCCGATTTCTATTTTTCCTCTTTTTCAAAATTTAGAACCATGTGTTTTATATCGTTTTCAATTTCTAACATCATACGTGTAATTATTTCAATTATAAATAGCGTATTTTAATTACAATCTCCTTTAAAATTTCTTATAAAAGTGTTTTTTCAATTTCAACTAAAAAAAAAATTTTATGAACTTATTTTTACAATATAAGATACATTACAAAATATTATGAAATACAGCATGAAATATATGATATAGCAAATCCTTCTAAATAAAAATCACGAAGCGGAACGAGTCATCGAGTTTTTGCAGATCCCATGACTTGCAAAATTTTACCGCTTCACCAACCCAACACTAAACCAACATTATGAAACCGTTCCGCAAGATTATAACAATTTATCATGTCATTTTCAATATAAAGAAACACCACAATATAAAAAATGAAAACCAATGTCAATAGAAAAAAATTCGACTAACTCTTCTAATCAAATTAAAAAATATATTTCCTACCATATGTTTCATTGAACTGGATATTAAACATCTTCCACGCAATTTATATGTTTCATTGAACTGGATATTAAACATCTTCCACGCAATTTATCGTTATGCCTGTGATAAGTTATAACAATTTGCAAAATTCAATTTCGTCGATGAAGCTAAATTTTCGAAAAGAAAAGCCTAATCGTCATTTAAAAAAAAAACGGTCGGTCTTTTAGCTCTCTAAACAATGTAATTACGATAAATATTGCTGGCAACAGACGTCATTCACTGCCCCAATAGATCGTTCAATTTATAGACTTTTTTTTTATGATAGCCATTACGAAGTGATTTACTTATTAACAAAGCTGTGTCACAAAGGATGTTACTTTGTCCATCAAGGAATTCTAGTCGATTCTAACACGTATGTTATCGCGGTTTATCACACGATTTATCACACGATTTATTCATATCATTGAATGTGGTGGGGGAGTAACGGAACACCCAGAGGCTCGGAAAAGTATTTATGTGAAGCACGCCGGTAATAGAAGCAGTAGTTTGTCAGAAATCGACTCGTCTAGTATACGTTCCAGCAGCAAAACTTCGTAAGTTTTTTTGTACCATTATTTTTTGAATATATATAGAAAAAAAACTTCGTAGAAAATCTTAAAGCAGGTTTTCGACAAAAACCGGTAGTGAGTGACTTTAATCAAAATGATTTTCGACTTTATTATAGAGACGATTTAATAATAATTTCAGACTTCAAAGTTTCAAATTCTTCAATTTCCAACTTCAATTCCAGAATAAAAGATTTGTAAATATACTTAAACTTTCGAACATTCAAATAATTTCAAAAAATTTTTTAACATAAAATAATCTTAGAATCATTAGATACAAGCCTCTTTATAGATAAAAATTGACGCGAAGTTTTTTATAATATACTATTGAAAAAATTTGACAATCCTCTTATTCTTATAAATTTCTCTTTCTTTGTCACTTGTGTTTTGTGACAATCGGAAATAAAGGGAAGGATTATAATTATTGTGTGTCTCTGTGCATATATCAAAAGAATGTTAACCGGTACGTTCACTTTCGTTTAGTTTCTATTTTATTCGTTTACTGGCGTGCGACTGTAGCATAATAAAATGAATTTTACCAGCCGGTTAGTCACTATATACGACGTTTATCAGCGGAACTAACGTTAGACATTGCGAGCCTTCATGCCGCTAATTATTTTCAATGTCACGTCTATTAAATGGGAATTTCCACGTAACTCCAACGATACTCCTATGTATTGAGTTTTTTCGAGAACATTCCTGTACATTGAGCTGATTCTAGGCACTCGAACGAATCAAGGCCTCCTGTTGTTAGACAGCTGGTCTTTGTAAACGGATCATTTATTTGAACTAGCACCGTTTTGTACGTGAATCTGAGTTTTAACTTTGAAATTTTTGCATTTTCTCAACGTTACAAATTCTTTATTTTTAAATAAAGTTCAAATTTTTTTGACGTTTCTTTCTAAATTCCTTGATACGCTTTCACACTCTTTGCTCCATTAATTTTCAAAGTTCCAGATTTTTGAATTCTTATGCTTTTTAATCTAAGTTCGCGAATTTCCAGCGTTTCGAAATTAGAAATCTGCAATTATTCAAACATTCGAGTAAACGTTTCGAAATTTTTCGATATTCGAAGTTTTCCAGTTTTCAAATTTCCATTTTTTTTTTTCAACGTTCCAGCTTGTCAAACTTATCGAGTGTTTAAATTTTCGAACGCTATGAAATATACCGAGAGATCCAAATTTTTTTAGATCAGCTTGTGAAATTTCCGCTTCAACTTTCTTCAATTGTAAATGAACATTTCATAGCATGAAACACAAAATCGAAAATAGAAAAAAATCGTTGAATGAAATGCAGAATTTTTATTCGCAGATAACTTACGTAAGACTTCGTGCAATTTATGGTAGAGTATGCTGGATGTTTACCTTGAGAATGTAACAATGTATGATCAGCGACCAACTTTAGATAGAAACATTGTGCAATCAGTGATTGCGTGTCTCGCTTAACGTGTTGAATTATATCGCAAAATATTTCCATTGTGTAATGATACTGCTATTCGTGATAGTCAAGATAAATTCGTTATATCTGCAAAGTTGTATAAATCTTAGAATGTTATTATAAAAAAATCAATTTTACATAGTATGATTTATATAGTATCTCTTCTTGAGACTGTGAATGAAGAATTATATAGTTGTAAAAACAAACTGCTAAATACGTAACAGTGAGAAAACTAATATAACGTATTATTATATTTATTTGATATAGAAAATGCCCACCTACAAATTGACTTACTTCAACATCACTGGCCTTGCCGAGCCAATCAGATACATCCTGCACCAGAGTGGAATTAAATTCGAGGACAGGAGGCTCACTTTCGAGGAATGGCCCCAATATAAAAATGGTAAGTAAAGATTCTCGATTCCAATATTAATAAAAATTCATTCTCATTAGATGGACAATTAATCTACTGATGTTACGATTTAAATTTATCAATCTCACATAGAAATTTATGTTACCTTACCATAAGAAATGTAAGCGTTATCTTACATAGAGATTAATAAAAAAATTTCACGTCGAACATCTGCTTCGTCGAGATAGAATGAAACTTAAAATTCACAAGCATTATCACCAAACTTAAATGTCGCGTAAGTGTTACAAATTGCAATGACTCATTCGACTCACTGATAAAGAATTTGTCGAGTATGTTCTAGAAAGGCGATTTACGTCCGAAAGTTTCGATTTTCATAAATATTTAAGTTTGGAAAACCTGTGTTTTTTCTACTATTGAAAATTATGTTCCATGTTTTGAATCGTGACGACATTTTCCAGACATGCCACTCGGCCAGGTTCCTGTCTTGGAAATCGATGGCAAGCCCCATCCTCAATCGAGAGCCGTCTGCCGTTTGCTCGCCAGACAAAACAATCTCGCTGGTTCCAGCAACGAAGAATCTTACACGATCGACGCCGTCGTCGACACCATCGACGACCTGAGACAGGGTACGGCGTTTTGTCATGTTATGCTAACTCATTGTAGTGACATTTACTTCGTCACGTCGTGATTCATCGCTAAATCGCGTATCTTTTCACGATGTTTTCACGAGCGTAGCTACAGAAATTTGTTTCATCTCTTTTCAAATATCACAACGAATTATAAACAAACGATACTATAATCTTGGATATTTTATGTAACGATGGACGAACGAAAATTGAAGAGACAGGTTGATGTAGCCTTCTCAAGATTGAGACGTTTGTATAATTTGCTTGTTTAATTTACAGCGATCTCTCAGTATCACTGGGAAAAAGAACCAGCAGCGAAGGAGAAGCTAAAGGCCAACGTTGATACCAAGCTTCCCTTCATCCTCCAAAAGTTGAACGCTCGAGTGCAAAAGGAGGGCGGGTACTTCGTCAACGGAAAGGTAACCGTCGCTGTTTATTTGCTTCGCGAAATCTCTAAACAAGCTACTCGAAAGCTATCCCCGTAAATTCGTAAATTTATAAACGTCGAGAGAAGGAACTTTCGAATTTACGATTATTTTGGTATAAATAATTAAAGTTGTGTCGTTAATTTTATTATACATTCATTAAACAGTCAATTTTATACGAATTTTAGTATCTTAATAAGTATTATTAATATTATTATTAATAAATTATATTATAATAAAAATAATATTATAATAAATTTATTATTAATAAATATTTTTAGCGACTTACCCAGTAACATTAACTGAATCGCAATTGTCTTTTCTTCCATTTGTTAAATTCTCCGCGAATTTCCAGACGTCTGTAATGGAATTAAGGAATTTCCAAAAATTCAGAGTTCATCGATCCTTGGCTTTCTAGACGCTCAAATGTCTGCAATATGTTTTCAAGCGATTGGAAATAGATTTCTACAGAAAATTTTTAATTTGTCGTTGCAGCTGTCGTGGGCAGACCTCTTCTACACCGCAGTATCAGAGATGTTTTCCGGTCTGTTGGAGACCGACGTGAACAAGGACTATCCTGAGCTCAAAAAATTGGTAGAGAAAGTCAGATCGCTGCCTAATATCAAGGCTTACCTCGAGAGCAGGCCTAAAACCGCGTTCTAAATATCCAGACATTCGACACGTATTATCATCAAGGATTCGTTGATCAGCTTATTTTTATTATCGCGTTACGTTTCATTGTCGCGTGGGTGAATGGTTCTCGCAGATTCTTGTGTAACGTAACAATAAAAATAAATATATTTGTACCTTATTTTTCTCTTTCTTATTCCGGAACGTGCATTTACGTGAATGAAGTCAAGTTAAGAGAACGTACGAAGCACAGATAATACATTTACACGTAAACGACAGCGTTGTGTTGTTATTTTGTGATAATCTTTTCTTAGTTGATAGCGTGCAAACTTTAAATAAACTTATGATTCTTGACTCTAAAATGGTCCTGATCGTATATTGACGAGTTCGTGGCTTTCAAATAATTATTTTTTTGTCTTCAAATAAACTTGAAATCATTCAAGATCATGGTTTCACGGTAACCTTCACGTATTTATTAATGCTGCTCGTGAAAACCGGACCATGACATCGTTATCTGATAATTTTCTTCCTTTCAGCAATTTATGTTCGATTATTTTAATAACGAAAAGAGTATTGAAGTATTAAAAAAGAAATTAAAACACAATACTGAAAAAGGAACAGTCATCTGAAAGGAGCTATTTAAAAAGATATTATGTACCTACGTAATTACTTCTTCGAACGTGTGACAAGTTTCTTCCATTGTTACTAAAATTATCACTAAAATTATAAATGTCACGAAAATATTCCAATGATCTAACATCCTGTTATGTATCTCCTTCGGTTCATTGTCCTAGTAGTTTCTCTCTTGGTTCCCCATATTTAGATTCTACGTATGTACATGAAAGGAACGCCAATGTATACGAAATAGTATGTAAGTATACAACAGAATTGGTGTTTATTTGAATGTTAAAATCTTGGTGATCGTAGATTTTTCTCAATACACTGGAAACTTTTCTAACATTACTTACAACGTATAATTTACAAACATACTTCTTCTCGAAGGACAGGCGTCATTTGTTCAAATCCTTTCTCTTTCGGTGGCACGTCAATTTTCTCACACGTCGGCTCGTTAAGTACATTATGGCACGTTTGTTCGACGAAGGGACACGTTTCTAACCCGGGAACGAGCGTTAAGCGATCAAGTCACAGTTCAATTCGCCCATGTACCGTGCCAGTTCCATCCCGCTGAACTCCGTTTCATCGTAGTCCTGCAAACTGGAGTTACTGATTGTGTTTGCACTGTCGATACTCGGATGACTTTGGAACCGGGGTGGCAAGACCGTCGTCGTTTCCGGTTTCGAAGTTGCGCGAACTGCCGTCTTCTGTTGCGACGAAAATAGCTCTTTGGTTCCCAGTCTCAGTCTCTCGGCAAGTATCTCTGCTCGAAGAAGGAAATTACAACTTACTAACGTTGGAGAAATCAGCTTTCAGCTGAAACTATTATAAAACAATTGTAACAAATAATTATTCGGAAGATTGGCGACTCGTTCGCGACCAATTTTAACGTTTGAAGGATATTTTACATTCTCAATTGAATAGCAAATGATGTGAAAATAATCGCAGTGGTCGATGCTAAAAATCGCTGGTTCCACTGGTGAGGTTTTTGTTTCGTTAACCTTTCTCACACGCTAACGACACGTTGATTGCTTTGGTCGTTAGCCACAGGCCGTAAACTTTAAATAGATCCTTCCAATTTCCCTAATATTCGTTTACGAATCGCTGCTCGTTCCTCCAAACGTTTCAAAAATACCTCAACCATCGTGTCCTTTATCGTGTTCCAAATGTTTTCCTAACACACTGAATGAAAGATGAACAACGTTACACTTACCGAGCGTAACAGTCCGCGGTGATTTTTGAACGTAAGTCGCGGTCACGTTGTTGTTTCCTTCGTTGAAACTCCTGCTAACGGACGACATCAGCGTGAACTGGCTGGAGTTCGATCCCCTCGACACGCTTCGTCCAAACTCACGACGATTCGTCGTCGAGCCAGGCCGATCCTGCTCCTTTCGATCGTTCAATCCGTTCAGCTCGGTGGTGTTTGTCATCCTCAGCTTTTGGTTGTCCTCGCTGACGGACACTGACGGCGAATTCTGGCGATCATCCGTCTGCCTAAGCGTGGACCTCGCGTACCGCGAGAGGCTGCTGTAGGTCGGCTGTCTTGGCACTGACTTCCGCGAGGACCACTTCCGGCCGCAGTGATTCGACAGCATCGACTGAAAGTTAACTTCAGTTTGTTCAACGCACTTTGTCGAACTTGTTGGCGTGGTTGGCTCGAGTATTTTCAAATTATTATTATTGGACAACCGTTGTTTATTATTGTTACTTAGCTTGAACGAATGATCACGTGGCCTGGGTGAATAGAAAACACCTGGGCGAATTTTTTTGGATCAGTATTATTATTACCATTGCCGTCTTTTTGAATCGCCTTTGTAAATTTCTGGCTTGAACGCGGTGAAAGTCAAGTTTCTTTTCACCGCTTGCGCTGGCAGCGATTGCGATTGCGGACCATAACGAGTGACCAAACCGTGTACATTAATTCGTCGCTTTCATTTTCAACTCGCCGATATGATACTCACTGGGAAATAATAAATTTATTATTTGTTTTGCCTGATTTGTACTTCAATATACTCTAAAACTGAGGAAACATTGCAATTTTAGGGCAAAAAGTTCTTAACGTGCGTGGCACGTCGTTCCAGCGCAAGAGGTTAAGAATCTCATTATTTGTAATCTTTGAATCGATGTTTACTGTTTTTCGAAATTAATAAATTTTTCCAAGTCTTGGGTCCAAAAGAAATTCACTTTCTAATTTAATAATTTTTCCGATCTGAATATCTCACGCTTTTCTAACTTGTTTCTTTAAATCAAAATTTCGAGTTTAATAAAAACACGTACTCGATCGTAAGAACACTACTCTTATCGTAACAGATTTCAAGCTTCGAATCGACCTCCAATAAGCACGAAAAAACTTTCGGTCTTTCGCTAAATTCGAAATAATTTCACACGGCTCCAATTCGATCCAGCGTTGATTTTCGATCTTGTGCGGCGTTCGCGTTTTGAGAGGACATCGAGCTGGCAGATGGACTTTCGATTCGGAATTCTCAAGTGATAACTCACCTTGAAAGCCTCCCTAAATTTGTTGGACATGATGTTGTAGAGCAGCGGATTCACCGTCGTGGACAGGTAATAAAACACCCCGGACATGTACGTGAGGATGGTGTAGACTATCACTAACGCGTCTTCCGGTTTAGCGTTGGTACTCTGCGCGTAGACAGCCAACAGTCTCTGGGCGTGGAACGGTGCCCAACAGATGAAGAACGCCACCACCACTGCGACTGAAATCGTCAAATCTTTTGTTTCTGTTTCTGTGTTTAATTTTGCCAACGAACATAGTAGAGAATACCATCAATTCAATTTTAGTCGAGATACTGCTGGGGATTTTAGATCTGCGGAATAATCCATTCAACGGAGCGAAGAATTGGAAACGAAACGACTTTGTTTATACATTTTTCTCAGTTATGCATGTGATTATTTTCAAACTTGTCTGAAAGGTAAATGTTAGTAATTTTTATTAGGTAGATTCAGGATGTGAGATTTATAGGCAAATTCGATATTTTAGTACTCTATTGTATACGTTATCTGTGCCAAAATTTTTTAGCCAACTCTGGTACAATTTAGACAGTCTTCGGGATTCGAGCTCGAGCGTTAAAGGCTCAAGCTTTTTGCAGATCAAGATTCGAACTCAGAGAGCTGTAGTCATTGAGACTTGAGGTTCTAGTTCTCGAAGTTCGAGGCTCAATGCTTGAGATGATATAAGATCGTATTTCTTACAATCTCAAAGAAAGTTTCCAATGATAAGAAATATTGGATTGGATCGAAGATAATTTAGAGAACGTAAGAGGGTGAAGCTTTTTTTATTGGGCACTTGAAACGCCAACAGAGATTCAATATAGTATTTTCATCTCACGTGGTACGGTTGATTTATTGGACAAATGTATTTCACCAAATTGTTAGCTACTTAGAAAACTATATTTGTTTTCATTCAAACTGTTATTAATAAAGAGTATACTTTTTCTGCAGAAAGAAATACGTTTCTCTTATTAATGATAGATAACTAGACTGCGAATTCATTACGTGTTTATGAAAAATTTGTGGTACACAAAAATATTAAAAAAATCATAAAAGAAAAATAATCTTCGGAAAAGTAATTTCCATTTTTTTAAATTACGAAATTAAAGATCCGCGGACTGGTCTTTACAGTTGAAAGAGAAATTTGAAATTATATTTAGCAAAAGGTCTAGATCTCGAGACTAGTGTCGTCTGCAAACGTAATTATTCGCAAATAATCTCTCAATACGTTGGAATTAATTCCAGTAATGAAACAGCTTAATCTATGAGCTTCAAACCGGAGTTTCTTTAATAAATCCACGTTTTATAAATTTCTGAAAAACACATGAATTATAAAATATTGTGTATTAATTGTGTATTTTGAAAATATTATTGTATATAGAATATTGTAATATGTACATATAATTGATTGTCAAAGCATTATATAATATAGATACATAGAAAAATTACTATTTTATATGTAGACATATTATATAATATAATTATTATATATAAATATTATATAATATTATTATATATAAATATTAGATTTGTAATATATGTATAATATTACTATAAATATTATTATTATAATATTATTATATATAAAAATTATGTGTATAATATATGTATAATATTACTATAAATATTATTATAATAATATTATTATATATAAATATTATGTGTATAATATACGTATAATATTACTATAAATATTATTATAATAATATTATTATATATAAATATTATATGTATAATATACGTATAATATTACTATAAATATTATTATAATAATAAATATTATATAACATGTAAATATATATATTTATGTATAACAAAATATTAACATTAACATCACCAGATCACAATTTCTTCAAAACTTCTTTTCCTCTGTTTAGACTAACAAGATAATGTTTAACAAACTGCATGCTAATCAAACTCGTTCAAATTTATTCAAACGTCAAATTTTCTGTCGCGACCATATTTGCCTTCATTTACAACTTTCGGAGAAAAAGCTTAAATACTTGTGCTATATCGCCGCGAATAAATAACGCACTTTTGCTCGCCTGGAAGTTCTTCGCCAAACAAGAAAGTCCTAGCAGACAGAAGCAAAACGTCTAGATTCCTTGAATAACTGAATACATATTAGATTTACGCCCCTGCACTCTTGCCTCCTCGAAGGTGATCGATTTAACGGACGAAGCCGAGCGGTCGAAGGATCTCGTGTAATTCGAATACTTGAATACAAATGAAATGGAGAATACTCGACATTGTCCACGTAATTGAATAGTCGTTCTACTCGGTTGGCGCATCGTCCTCTTCTCGAATGTTAATTCAAAGTAATTTATTAATTATTCGTGAAATCGTCGGTAAAATAGTCGATTAAATTTTTCGTAAAATCAGATGAATGTATGTACATCTAGATCTGAATTGCATTGACAAAGAAGAAAAAAAAAAAAAGATTCCAGATAAAATCTCTTTCGAGAGAAAGCGCAGTTGGGCCACGATCGGCTGTTTTGAATCGACGGCAGATTTCAATGTGAGAAACCGGTTCCACGTTTAGGTTATTTATGGGAGATTAGAGGAGACAATATTTATCTTTATCAAAAAAAAAAAAAAAAAAAAGCAAAGAAGGTATATCTGCATCGCAGATTTTTATGCAAATTTACATTTCCGTAGAGAAATTTCCGAGGAATTGGAAACTCGAGCAGTATTAAAAATTGTAACGGGTTACAGATTGTGTGTTTCTGCTCTGTGCCATTTTCGCTTTCTAAAAATTCATATGCATAAAAACGCAAGGGAATTCTCACGACCAACAGTGACAAACAAAATTACAAATTCTACCAAAGATATTGGAATAATTTAAATTATTAAAAAAAGAGAAAAAAAAGATGCAAAAGACAGTCACTATAGATACGACTCTGGAATCATCGACGATGATTCTAATTAATCTTCGATCCTTTGCCTCATTTTCCACTCAATCGTACAGCCTGCTATTATTTGTTCAGAATTTTTCAAGTTTATTGAGAAAACTGACAGGACATTGAAGCACGTTGAGGCTTCTCTGGGAGAACGATGAAAATTCTACGGTATAAAATACCGAACGAAACGACAGAGGAGAGCTGCAACATAATTTTGTCGTTGAATCGGTCGAAGGTTCGACCCTCGCCCTAAAATTAGGTCGGAGGCAGCCGGTTCCAAGGCGAGCCGACCTCGCTATCGTAAATTTTTCTTGCACTTCTATGGAAAAATGCGGGTGCCCATACAACAATCGTCGAGTTAACTCGTTCGTCCAACGAGAGATCGAGGCTCGTTTCTCTACGCCCTCGATGCCTGATTTGTCAGAAATAACCGCGCAAAATTCCACGTTACTAAACAAGCGCACAATAGAGACGTAAATTCGATCCACGGTGCTCGACAAATTCAATATTCGCCAAAGACTGTAAGTATGTTCTTCCGACTGCATCATGCGTCTCTAATTCGCAAGACACGAAGGTTACATTAACGTGTTTACTCTCGGCGAAGCTCGCACGGCAAGACATAAAAGACGTTTTATTCGTGAAATGAGATTCCAATCGATCCTATCGACGCGCGCCTCGAAAACCTCTTTTCTTTCTTTTTTTTCTTTTCTCACTTTTTCACTACGTTCGTAACGCCTTTTGACGTTTAACGCCTCTCGGCCGGTTTTGTATTACAAAAGATACTTATCCGTCTCAGCCTCTTTTCTTCGCGGGTAAAATAAAATCGGGTAGGAAGAAGAGAAACGTTGTAAGAACCGGCGTTTCCACTAAAAATAATCGTAATCTCTCGAAACTCGGGATAAAGTTCAGAATGTAGGTTTTGCGTTTTAATTGAATTGAATTTTTATTCTATTTTTCGATTCTTTTAAAAATTAAATTCATTGGAAGTAAATCTCGAAAAAATCTTGGTGAAATAAATAATGATGTGATAAAGAATTTGTTAAAGCGAAATACGATAATTTATAATACTTTTATAATTTATATAATTTATATAATTTATATATATTTTTATACATATAAATTATATAAATTATATAAATTATAAAAATATTTTATATATATAATTATAAAATATATATAAAATTATAAAATATTTTATATATATAATTATAAAATATATATAAAATTATAAAATATTTTATATATATAATTATAAAATATATATAAAATTATAAAATATTTTATATATATAATTATAAAATATATATAAAATTATAAAATATTTTATATATATAATTTATATACAATTTATATATATTTATATATATTTTTTTATTTATATTCATATAAATTTATTAACAGATGTTTTATAATTTCATAATTTATATATATTTAGCTGTTATAGATCGAGGTGCTTTATTATTTTAAGCTTGCTTGCTATTATTTAATTTAATGAAGTTAAATTTTATCTTCTTTCCAATTTTTTTTTAAATTAAACTCACTGAAAGTGAATCTCAAAACTTCAAAACTCGATGAAATAAATAGTGATTTGTACAATAAAGGATTTGCTAAAACAAAGTACGATAGTTTAAGGACGTTTTATTATTTAATTAAGCTACTTCAGCTTAACTGAAAAATTTTATCATGTCCGTTTGATGAAACTCTAAATACCGAAAATTTTGGCCAGTAGTACACCATCGTTATTTTCATTTTACATCCTATTTGAAGTAGAATTTCTTCTACTTTGATAGATCTCTGTTCAAAGAGATTATGGAATTACAAATTGTTCTCTTCGATGACATTTTTTACGAGGCACATGGCGATTTGTAATCGAGGAATTAGGCATGTATCGTTGGAGGGTAGGAACTGCAGCTGAAAAACTCGAATTTCGAGAATCGATAAGATTGTGCAACTTGAAGAAATAATCTCCGCTGGTTTATTTTGACCATTTATTGGGCTCGTCTGTATTTTAAGAGCATTTTCTCTTGTTCGTTCCCGCCTGTTTCTCTTCAATTTATTTCCTTTGGGCTTATACTGCCTTCGATTTCTATTGTATCAACAGGAAATCTTCGATTTTGTCCGAAGTTTGCGATATTTTATCGCGGAATTTATATTCTGGCTACGAGCAAAATTGCGGATCAAAATTTATATCCTGCACAGAGATTTGTCTTATCACGAGAGAGAGAGAGAGAGAGAGAGAGAGAGAGAGAGAGAGAGAGAGAGAGAGAGAGAGAGAGAGAGAGAGACTTTTAATACGACGTGAAGAA